CAAAAAAAGAGACTGTGTTTAAGATGTTTAATGCGGCTTGGGTGCGAGGAGGAACCATTGTGTTGGCGTGTAGCGCTGCCAAACTCTCCCCCTCTTGAACCCGTCGCCACAGCAACGGGCACATGCTGCTCTAAGCGCCCATCCACCGCCCGACGGCATCGGTGTGATGATGTTCAAGGCGCTCAAGTATTGCCTTTTATGTCATGTTACGCCGCCATAATTGTGCATTTGTTTTATTTTTAAATTGGTGATTTTGCAAGATTATTGCGCTGGAATATGTGACAGAGTGGACAATAACAGGGTGGACGTTTCTGGGCCCTGGGTGCATGTAACGAACACATGATGGATAGCATGGATAGGTCATGATTCATCTAGTCAGCTGACTGTTGAACAAAGTACTTGGAATACCCGAAAGGGTTCTCGATCAATTCTTATATTTGTACATACACCTTTGTATGGTAAAAATCAATAAATAAATGGTGTTTCTGTGAGGCCCAGTATTAAATGGCACGAGGACCGGTAGTTGGGAAGCCCTGCGGTGCAGTCACAAAACGGGGCTGATCTCAAATCTAAAATGGGGCTTGGCTGCTATCTGTGGGCGTTTGTGCCTCATTACTGCTCTTCACAAGATTAAAATTCACATGCGAGAAGTATCAGACTCTCCTCCACCCTTCCCCGTAAAAAATGTAAATGACGTGAAAAGACGTCTTTGGTACTGAGTGAGTCAGTCATGTTTCGACGAATGCTGGCATCCCGCATTACACTGAAGGAAAGGGAACTAGAGTGTTTACAGATGCAAGTGAGGCATTCTGGGACTTGCTTTCCCGTTTGGGGGTGTGAAGTCGCATATGGGCCATGTCACGTGTCAAATTCGACCACATGAAAAATAACAATGGAGGAAGCGGCCAGAGTTGCATTTTCAAGTTGGAAACACAATCACTGTTTTGAGTTTGTGTCAGCTAAAGAATATATTAAGGTTCGTGGCACATTCTGTGCTGTTAACAAAGTGTTATTTAGCTTCAAAAACACTACCAGTGTGTCAAAAAAAGAAACATATGGGGACATCCATAAATTTGATTATTTATCAAGTGTATTCCATCACTCTGCTCCATTTCCTGTGATCCTGACGAGGGCACCAAAGGCGCTTCCTCGTCATAATGACACAAGTTCTTCCACAGATCGGGTGGTCAAACATGGGAGCGGCGTAGACACGGCAAGTGGGAGTACATCAGGTGGCGTATCGTCACAGGAAAGTACCTGGAGTGGTGGTGGGGACAAGCAAGATGGCGACCTCTCGGTGGTGATGGCTTTCGGTTTGGGAGGGTGAAGGTGTCTATGGTGTCTCCTGCTTGTGTGATCTTGGTTTTACCAAAGTAGGGTGCGGTGGTCTTTGGGCTGGCTGGAACGGCAGCGGCGGGAGGTGCATTTGGTCGCGGGGATTTACTCGACGTAATCCACCTCATAAATAGCACCGCTGTTGTGTGGCCGTGATGGAAATCATTAACGCACGCAACGGAACGACATACAACTGCCGCGTGCATCATCTGCTATAGTTCGCGAAACAAATATGATTTTTTTTTTTTGTAATAAAATTGAATAAATATTCTTAGTGTGGTCACAAAAGATATTTTTAATTGTAAAAGTAAATGCAAAAATGTGCGAATTCTCTGTTTAAATCAGTAAAATCATTATTTGAATAGAATAACTAATTTAGTAATTGCTCAGTATTTTTTTTTTTTTGGATCAAACTATTGTTATTATGATCATCAAATCCGTACAGTGATATAGTCAGTAGTTGCTTGTTTACAAATTTTTTTTTTTTTTGGGTCTTATACAGTATTACAAAGTGAATTTCGGTTCAACGTGGCTTCCGCCATTTTTGGGCCGCAGACAAAATAGGACGTGAAATGAGGAATCGCGAATGGCTATGCTGAGACTGAGGGGGGCTGGGGGTGCGGACTAGCGGAAGTCATGTAGCACCCTCTTACATAAGCGCGCGCGCGCGCGTGTGTATGTGTATGTGTATGTGTGTGTGTGTGTGTGTGTGTGTCTTATCTCCCCCTGAGGGGCCCGTGCAGTTGTCTTTTGTACCTTCTATGACCCTTCACACTCTGAGATCCTGTGTTTGCGTTACTGAATACCGCCTCCCGCCCCCCACCCGATTAAGAAAATTCAGCCCCCGAAGCCAGTTCCACTTAGCTGTATAGAATTTGGTCAGCATGTCAATCACGAGTAAACACGGGGGGGGGGGGGGACGTCAAGAAGTCATAATATTAAAAGCAAAGTCTGCCATTTTGATTTTCAGCGGCTAAACTGCAATAGCCCAATGCTACTAGGTCAGATCTTGACCAAACGCCCCCCCCCCACCCTCTCACGAGTGAAAACAATTCAGCCCCCGAAGCCAGTTTCAAGTAGCAACATGACCTTCGATAGGCATGTCTATCATGACTAGACCCACAAAAAAGTCTCCAAGCAATGCTTGAAAGAACTGCCATTTTGTTTTGAAGCTAATAGCTCAACAGAGGTATTGACCGAACCCCGGGCCCCTCCTCCCCCCGCAACATTTTTGAAATACACCCCTAAAGCCAGTTTCAAGTAGCAACATGAAATTCAGTGGGCAAGTTGATCATGAGTACAGCTACTGTACAAAAACTGTCTCAAAAAGCCATGCCTGAAAAAAAACAAAAACAAAGGAAGGCAGCCATTTTGGTTCAAAGCGGCCCTCTTCGGGTCATTCATCTAAAATGGCTGTTTCAAACCAACATGGCAGTCTCGCTGTTGAATTCCAGGCCTTTGAGACATTGTGCACTATCTTGATAGTCATAATTAAATGTTCTTGTGATGATGACAGACGATAGTGAGTGATTGTTTCTCATAGGAGGATTTATGAATATCTTTTTTTTTTTCTTTCGAGTGGCTGCCCGAGGAAAATTAGAAGAAAAAGCCCCTTCATCCTCAAGTGATATTGATTGTGTGGTTGTCATGGAAACCTCTAAAAGCAACTGCACAAATTTCCGACTGTTCATTGTTTGCAAAAGTTCATAGAAGGCTGCACTTGTCTGCTTCGGATCGCGTCCAAAGAGGAGATTAGAGCTGACTGCTTCCCAGCTTATGTGAATTAAAAGTACCCCTCTTGAAAATCCTGCTTGAGACAATTTTAATCCCCCCGTGCTGTAAGAGACACCATAGGGGGAATTATTTATGCCCGTGAGTGTTTGACATATGGGTATGTTTGTTTCTTTGTTAGTTTTTTCTACAAAGTACTTATTGCTAGTGTTGTAACCAAGTTTTTTTGTTTGTTTATTATGAATATTACCCCCCTCCCCACCTGATTAAGAAAATTCAGCCCCGAAGCCTGTTCCACTTAACTACATGGAATATGGACAGCATGTCAATCACGAGTAAAGACAGAAAAAAAGTCATAATAACAAACACAAAATCTGCCATTTGGATTTTAAGAGGCTAAAAAATTGTAATAGCTCAACGCTACAAAAACCCCATGAGTGAACAAAAATTAAGCGTGACATATTTTTTGGGGTCAGGGTCTGGGGGCATGGAACGGATTAATGATATTTCAATTCATTTCAATGTGGATTTTTTTTTTTTAAATACACTCAAGTACATTGACTTGCCTGAACTTCCTTCCAGTGTTGCTTTCAAATTCTGCAAATCTTGTTTTGGGTTTGTCAGCCGCAGCAGCAGGTCTGTGTTGATGAAACAGGATGTTGTGGCTTTTTTTTTTTTTTTTTAAATCATGGCACACTCGGGCGAACATACAGCATAAATGTCCAAAATGAGACATTGTGAGGTGATGATTTTGTATTTCCGTGTTGCAGGGTGGGAGTGGATCCAGATCAAGACCCACAGCCTTGTGCAGACACCTTCCAGGTCCTACAAGGGGTGAGGGGGATATTGCTATAAACTTCTTGTTATTATAACACAGCCATCATATTTTTATGTATTTATGTATAAAATGACTAATTGGGTAAGACAGTGTGACATTTAACCTGAATGCACTGACTGCATTCAGCCTACAAACAATGCCAACACACTTAATTTGGCTAATATTGTGGGTTTTTTGTTTGTTTTGTTTTTTTTACCAATTAAAATAACTATGAATTAAAATTATATTCCAGACAATACATTTTGATTTGAATAATATTTCTATTTCATATTTGACCATAAAAAAAAAAAAAAAAAAAACATTTCTTTTTCAGAAAATATCATAGGTAGTAGTAGTAATTCCATGACAGGTCCCCTTTAATATAATTTATTTGTAACAATTTTTTTTAATCTCTATTTCAATTTGTAAAACATATACGGATATATATATATCCCGTTTGTCTCTTACGCATGCTAACGCTTTTACTTCTGCTTCTGCAATTGAAGAGAGGAAGAAAACTTGAAAATAGTTCAGTCTGTCAAATCCCAAAATGGAGGCCAGGTCCTGAAAGAGACAAGACCCCTTTAATTTTTTCACCACTCAGACTATAATTTGAGCATCAAACATCAAATCCCATGCTGCAATATTACTCATTGTTTGGTTTGTATTACTCGCAATGCAGTGATTTTTTTTTTTTTTTTTAACCTTTACACTATGCAGGATGTCCCCCGGGCTGAAGGGCAGAGCAAAACCAAACAAGAGAGTGCCTGGCTCTTCAGGATGTGGTACACCTTCGATCACAAGTATCCTTTTTTTGTGTGTGTGTGTGTATGGAAATAATGGGAATAGTATTGGCTTACCTTCACCAGAATCCCATGTTGCATTGTGGCAGGAATGAAAGAAGCATGCGAAACCAGCAATACTCCAAAATAATACGATGATTCCCCCCCAAAAATAAATAAAATAAATTGTGCAGTCGCACAGAATTAGGCTGTTGTAATGTTTCCCTGCCACCATGAGGAATTTGCTGCCTACCACAAAGAAAAAGGAAGTCAGCAGGAAGAAAAACTTCAAAAACGACTTCCAACACTTTTGATTTTGTCAGGGTAAGATTTTTACCTTAACGGCCGTTCAGCTACTTGAAACCCATCCTGACGCACAGCGGCCCCCCGCTCGCTTCCACGCTGCCCGGCTACTGCGGACCCCTGGCCAGCTGCCTGACCAGCCCTCGCGCCTACGAGGTCAGTCAACAGCTACTTTTACTTTTGGGGTACGGAGGCTTGTTTGCACCTAAATGAAATAAAACAGTAAGTACAAAGGTAATTAAATTGCTCATTAAAACATCAATAAGACAAGCTAACATCTAGGGGGTCACTTGTTTCTAGGCAGACTTTGTGTGGCACAATCCAGTGTGCACAAGTTGTAGTCATTTTTTTCATACACGCATCTGGCAACTCTGGGCAGGACTGTGTTCCTCCAAAGGAGCGGCTTTAAGAACACCAAATCGGTCACCCCCACTCATTAACCAGCGACCTGTTCCTTTAGCTTTGTGGCATTGCGACGAAATTAGCATGTTAGCGTCACATGACGGGAATTTTAATAAACAATTTTATTGTTTATTATCATCAAACAACACCGTGACTTTGGAATGCCACCAAACAATGTTTTCCACGATAGCTTGCAGCTGATGCTAGGATACAAACGAGGTTTAATACGTCAACAATATAACAAAAGCACATTCGAGGCTAAATGCCATTCCCCTTTCAGCCTCGGAAAGTCTCCCCTCGGGGACACTGAAGCTTTTCCACTTGGGAGAATCGAAACGTTGTCCTGGTGTTCCCGCCTCCTGCCAGCAAATGCGTACAAAGGAGAAAATGAATGGTCAAAAAGCCTTTTTATTTGCATTGCGTGGGCACAAAGAGCCTTTTTTTCCCCCCCTGCATCTCTGCCCTACCCTCAATGATCATCAGTGTTCAAAGACGCTGTGCTTCGAATCTTATGAAAATAGTTCTCCTCACAGGTTACTAAACCGACAAATGTATATATCTACTTCTGCAAAATTCAGTTTTTCACAGTTGTAGTGCGCACACACACACACAAAACTGCCGTACATTTGCATTTAGGCTGCTGCTTCCCTTGCCAGTGTGTTGGCGACGCAAACGCCCCGTCCGCGCATGTGTTCCAGTGTCCCGCTGTGCCCCGCGGCCCGCTATTGATCGTCAGCCATCAATGAGAGTGTGAAACCTCACGCCCCAACTCAGTCAGGAAATGCCTGAATGAGCGTCATCGCCGTGTGGCCTTCAGATGCACTTTTACATGAAGTAGACTGGAGTGTTGCTCAGTAGGGCGGGGACCTCCACCAAGGCCCACGTGTTAAGAAGAGTAAATGTGTTAGTCCAGCTGTTTGTTAGTTAGCAGGATACTTCTCGGTGAAAGGAGAATACCTCCAGGCTGAAGACTCTTACATCAGTGTAAAAAATGCCCAGTTTTATTTCCTGTACTAAAAGGAAAATAAATTGGTGGTTTTGTACTTTCCTAAAAACGGGACAAAAGATTTCTGTGGCCCTTTCCAAAAAAGAAAACAATACATTGGTTCTACACTTTCCGAAAAATGGTTCTACACTTTCCGAAAAAGAAGAAAAAATGTTGGAAGACAAACTGTTGTTGTTCCATTTTGCTCAAAAGAAAGCTAAGTATTGCTGTCCCACTTTTCAAAAAAAATAAGACAATCCATTGGCGTCACCTGTTGCTAAAATGAAGACAAGCTATTGGTGTTGCACATTCTGAAAAAGAAGACAACCTATCGCGGTTGCAATTTCCTAAAAACGAGACAAACAATTTCTGTGGCCCTTTCCAAAAAAGAAAGCAATGTATTGGTTTTGCACTTGAATGAATGTTCCCAAAAGGAAAACAAACTATTGTTGTTGTATTTTGCTAAAAAGAAGGACAACTATTTCTATCCCACTTTTCAAAAAAAGAAGACAACCCATTGGTGTCATCTGTTGCTAAAAAGAAGACAATCTATCGGTGTTACACAATCTAAAAAAGAAGACAAACTCTTGGTATCACACATTCCTAAAAAGAAGACAAACTATTGCGGTTGCGCTTTCCTTAAATCAAACAATCCCATCCCACGTTCAAGTTCCTCCCCTGGATCTCCTTTTCCAGAACCAGGAGCAGCTGAGAGACCCCGACCGCTCCGACGGCGACCTCTCCTTCACGTTCGGCGACGCGGCCATCGCCACCAACGGGCTATCGGGTGACGGCTGCGGCGGCACGACGGGGTGGAACTCCAACGGAAAACGCGGCGGCAGCACATCCGAGGAAGCTCTGGAGCGAGAGCTGGACTCCCGAGAGCAGGAGCTGCTGAGCCGAGGCACCCGCTTGGTTTTCCCCATCGAGGATCCCATCTGATACGCACTCCATTTGACTCCCTGGATATGTTTGATTTTTCTCCCATCAGCCAAATTACAGCATATATTAAAACACTATTCACATTTATGACCTCCGCCAAGGAACTTGTTTTCCATCATCAGTGTTGGGTTTCCCCGGAATGTGACCGATTTAACGACTTCAACGCTGATCATTTTTGAAGGGTCTATTACCACCACCAAGGAGCTTGTCTTTTTCTCAAAACAAAAGACGAACCCAAAAGTGATGGGTTCGTCTTTGGTTTGTTTGTTTGCAACTTTACCGGATACGTCGTCTGTCCAACGTGGCCATGTCTGAGGGACCTCTAGCTAAAAATTGATACGATGAAAGATTATGACTATTAATAATTATTGACTCCACCAAGGAGATTGTATTGTCATCACACATTGTATTGTCATCAGCAGTGTGGGCTAGTCTTTTTTTTTTTTTTTCCAACGAGGCCTGGGCATAGCTCTGTAATTTCGCAACTTTAACGATTCTTGATTATTATTTATTACCTATGCCAAGTGGGTGGCCCGGCGGTCCAGTGGTTAGTGCGTCGACCTCACAGTGCAGAGGTACTGGGTTCAATTCCAGCTCCGGCCTCCCTGTGTGGAGTTTGTTGTTCTCCCCGGGCCTGCGTGGGTTTTCTCTGGGTACTCTGGTTTCCTCCCACATTCCAAAAACGTGCATGGCAGGCTGATTGGACACTCTAAATTGTCCATAGGTGCAAGTGTGAGTGCCCTGCGATTGGCTGGCAACCAGTTCAGGGTGTCCCCCGCCTACTGCCCGAAGATGGCTGGGATAGGCTCCAGCAACCCCCGCGGCCCTTGTGAGGGTAAGCGGATTGGAAAATGGATGGATGGATGCATGGACCTCTGCCAAGGAGCCAATCTTTTCTTCATCAACATTGTCATTTTTTTTTTTTTTTATCTCCTGGATATTTTATTTTCATCCAATAGGACCAAGTATGACTTGACATACAATGGGTCCAACATTTAGCATTTTTGTTAGCATCCATTACCTCTCGTCAAGGTGATATATATATTTTTTTCATCAGTGGCCAAATATAAAGTCATTTAAGACAATAATTCAGTAGATGAAAGATTATTTTTATGAATATGATTCCTGCCAAGGAGATTTTTATTCCAACATCAGCCTTGAGATAGTCTTGGAGTTTGTTTTCAATTCTTACTTTTTTCTTTTTGTCCAAGTTGGCCAAAGATGACCTCCGTCCGTCATTTTGCAATTTCAAAATAGTGTTCCCATTCACCTTCCATCAAGGAGCTTGTATTTCCCTCATTGGCGCTGGGTTGACCTGTCTTTTTTTTTTCCAACAGGTCAAAATCAACTTGTCATGTTCGTGTAATTTAATTATTGTTCTTAACATTTATTACCTCCGCTATGGAGCCAGTTTTTTTTTTTTTTTTAATCATCAACACTGGGTCATCTTTATAATTCTTGCTTCTTTTCAACTTGCTGCCAATCTTTTTTTTTTCCATCCAACGCCACCACATATGACTTGATATATTTTTGTATATGATTAACTTGGACACTGATTGATTTTAGCATTCATTACCTTCACCGCAGAGTTTGTGTGTCCACCAGCATCTTTTTTTTTTTCCTGAGTAAATTCCTGTACACTTTTGTGTCCCATGTGGCCAAATACGACATAACCCAAGACAATAATTCAGCAAACGAAAGATTATTAACATAGATGACATCCGCGAAGAAACTTCTTCATTTGCAACTTACTCCTGGATACTTTTTTTGTCCAATGTGATCAATTATAACTTTTACCTAAGACCATATTTCATCTTATACTTCCGCCATGAAGTGGAATCACCATTCATTTAAAAAAAAAAGTTTCTTCTTACTATTATTATTTCATGTGATTGGAATAAACCGTGCCAAAGTGGAACCGTTAGGTCAAACGTAATCCATTCTGTGATAAAACTAAAATACAGTAAAACTACTACTTTGTTTTCCCACATAAATACAATTGAGAAGAGTGATACTGGTACCTAGTGTGTTTTTATTGATATTGCTGGATGAATATGAGTTAGTGTAGCAAATAATATATCCTAGTGTAAATACCATTGACTTTCAAAATGCTTCTGCGGTGGTGTAGCAAGGAAAAAAAAAGCCAAAAAACACTGGTGTAGTGTTCGACTTTAAAGGTTTTACTGTGTGTGTGTGTGTGTGTGTGTGTGTGGCTATCTCTCTCTCTATATCAAGGTTTCACTGTGTGTGTGCGTGCGTGCGTGCGTGCGTGCGTGTGCGCGCCTCTTCATTTGTGGAGATCACATAGACATGTTTTGCCAGTTGAAGATTGCAAATTTTGTTCTGACCGATCAATCCGAGTCATCTGATTGGTCAAAACTGTGGCTCTAAAAAAATGTTTACACCACGTTTAAAATGAAATAAAATACAAATGTACGAGTAGGCCTGAATGTAGCAAAAATAAGACAGAGGTTTAATTCCTAAAAAGTGTTTTCAATATTATTGTAAGCCAATAAAGTATAACATTATGCACATTTGCAATGTTAACACTGCATTTAAATCAAGGATTAAAAAAAAAAAAATCCCTTAAATGCCTCTTGATTCAATCGTAGCGTATTGCACATCAATGTTAAATACAAACTGCCCCTCAATAAATATTTCAATCCAAACTCTTAACCTTAAAGATTAAGCGCAAATGGATTGCACGTCAAAGTTAAATACAACCGAACTATTCTGAGGCAGTGATTCTTACCGTTACAACAGATGCAGTGACGGAGGCTCGTGCCACAGATTCTGAAGGAACTGTGCAGATTACATTGACACGGCAACACAGAGAATCTGAAAGCTGATTGGACAGCCCCCGCCCCAAAAAATAAAATCGACATACATGTACTGGAGGCATTGCCGCCGATAAAAACGCTTCCACGTGAGGGAAATAGACTGTTGCGGGAAAAAAATCCTCAAACAAATATCTTGCGAATGCAGGTCATTGTGTTGAAAGTTTTTGCTGACTGGTTAGTGGTTATCGTTGTCCAGATGTCTATGTAGGTGCACCGCCAGCTGCAGCGGGGGCCAAGAAAAGCAACGTCATAATAGAAATGGACCGTTTTGATACGTCTTATGACATGTTTTCATTCCCCCTTGAAAATCCAGTGTAATGAATCAAATATCTCTGCATGCAATCATATCCAGCAGGGCATGACAATAAATGGTGTCGAAAGCCCCGAAATTTAAGGCGGCTTCAGCCAATGGGAAGCCAAATGAATGTCACTTGTGGAAAAGATGTCAAAACGACGGTAGGGGGAAAAAAAGGAATCATATATTTGTACTTAAATGTGGATTTTGCTTGATTTGGTTTTCATATAATTATTTTCGTGCGAAATTGGGAGAAAATCCAATTGTAAAAGTCACAAAGGATAAAACTCTTTCATCATGTAATCAAACATCAACAGAAGGAACTTCAGAAGTAATTTCAGCCAAACAATATACAGTATAACAAGTTATATGGTAAAATTAATCATAAGCAGTAACATTAATTGAATAGAAGAGAATATTCTGAATAAAAATAATCATCGTAATATATATTATCTGTGTCATTCTCTTCGCGTTTGTGCAGTTCACAGATGCTAAAAACATTTCACTTCGGTATGGAACAGCTGCACCGTTTGTTAGGTGAGCTAAAACATAATTTTGGAAAAGAATGTAAATTTGGGGGTCTTAGAAAAATATATTTTGTACCGCACTTTGAATCGTTGGGCAAATCTTAGATCGCTTAAAAAACAACGTGACGCTGAGCTTTAACATCACAAGCCTTATTTTTACTGACGGATGAAGCGTTCCATTTTTTTTTAAAGGGTTGCAGGCAGCAGACTTGTGGAAAAATCATTTTGCCCAAATAACCCTTTATCCGGGCCAAATGTGGAAACGTGGATTTGCCCTAACATGACGTTATGTAGCAAGCATGAGAAACAAGCAAACAAAAAAGCTTCAATGTGATGAAGATGCATGAGAGGTTTCCGGTTACGTAACGCAACGCAGTTTGTGGCGGTGCGCTGCCGCTTAGTCAGGCGGTCTCGCTTGTTCCACATGCCCAGCGTGCAAATAATTGTCCAGAGCGCCGGCCAACTGTGACCGCTGTGTAGTCGATGTTTGACTGCAACGGTCTTTTCGGGACAAGGGAGCATTCCCAAGGGATTAAACTCACTTTTGCCACTCATTGTAAGCTAAAAAGTTTTTGGACTACATTTGTTGTACTCAACTCAAGTCGTTTGCGGTGTCGCCAAAGTGAAACCACAGCGATGTCCAAGGTTAAAAACAAACCATCCTGGTTTCAACGTATGTTACGAGTATGCGTGGGCTAACTGGAACCAAGATGGATTTTTTTTTTTTAGGCCGATGCCAATTCCGATGTTTGGCAGAACAAATTACGATAACCGATTATTGGACAATTAATGTTAAATATACATAAATGAATAAAATAGATTCTTTTTGGTTCCCTTAGCGGTTCGAAAAATAAAGATATGAATTACACTCAGGACTTTGGAATTTGTATATATTTATTTATTTTATTTTATTTTTTACAAAACTCAGTCCTTTAGTATTTGATGATCTTTACAACAGAGAGAAAAAATGGCAGACCTTTTGACTTTTTTGTGCAGGGAATGTTTGAATGTCATTATCTTTGTCTTTAATTGTCATGTTTGCTTGAAAGTCAAAGCAGGAAAATAATCATTTCATGAAAAACTCGTATCTCAAGGTATAGTGAGTAGGGAATGATTCTGAATCCAGTTGTTGCATTTGAATTATTCACTCATTCTCTCTTCCTTAGTTCCTTTAAAGATTTTTTCGGAACTATCTTGATCCACTGGATAAAAATCCCTGTGTAGTGGTTATCCATCTTCTGTAAATTTTTTTTTTTTGAAAAGCGTCATGATTGTAATTTTACAAGAACAAAAGCAATCATTTAGCAGTTGCCTTGGTTTTCACTCAGTGTTTATTGCGGTAACTTTAAACAGTTTAAAAGTTATTAATGTCGCTTACAAAGTATGACACAGAAAAAAAATCCAACTTCTGAAGTTGATCATCAAAACATCCATCATCTGGATGAACACTTTGACCATGTTTGGACCACAAAAAAGATTTGATATAAATAATCAGGATGAACGTTGCCAAGGGGTGGAAAATTCACAGTAAATTTCCATGGGAAGTTAAGCAGTGTAATTTGGCAAATACACCAAAATGGAAACGTTACGATTTGAGGGTAATTGATTGGAAATCATGTTCAGCATTTTGTTTTGCCGTAAGCAGATCTTGCCAACATGCGAGGACATCTCAGTAAATATATTTTCTCCGTTTCCTTCTGCGTGTCTGCCGCTCGGTTGAAAATCCAATTTGTATGGACACAGATACAAGCAGCTCTCCGGGTATTTGTGTGAGGAGATTGCAACATACTTCGACGGCGTATTACTAGTGTATACATTGCATGTCACAGAACATAAAATTTTATGGGTCTTGACACATCAGTCAAAATGGACTAAAACTCCGACCAATCAGAGGGTGGCTGCTCTGAAAACCCTTGGCATGGAATTATTAAGCGCCAATCTTCAATATTGTCAATTCTTGATCTATTCCCATTGATTCCCATCAATTCCCACGGAGAGTCTCGACTGTAACTTTAAAAATTGTGCAACCCTAATCAGTACCCCCCCCCCCAAAAAAAAAACAAGTCATTGGAAGGACAGGGGTGGAAAAAAAAGCCCCGCCCATGTGAGTGTTTTGTCAGTGTGGTGCTGCTGCAGCTGTCCAGATTCCTCCGGGGCTAAGAGGGGTTGGAATGAGGAGGAGGCAGGCGGGGGAGGGACAAGACTTCCTCACGCAGGCCTCTCAAAGCACACACAGTCTCCTTGAACTTCCAAGTTAGCGTAGTTAGCAGATCCACTTAACCCAGTCACGCCAAGGTGAGGCTCCGACCTTTTGGTGTCACCCTGAATCCACCCAACTTTTTACGGGGATTTAGAGTCAGGGCGTCGGGAGGATTAGTGTGCCTAAAAAGGGGCAGTGATGTGTCAAGCAGCCTCCAGACTACTGCTCAACAGGTAAAAGTGGGAAGAGGCGCCCCAGTATTTGAAGCATTCCAGCCTCGGTGACCCACTTTTTTTTATTTCTTCCTACTCCTTGTCAGGGTCTCGGTGTTCAGCTGGAAAAAAAAATAGCAGCCAGAGCGAAGCTCACCGCTCCCAGTCGGCCACGTTCCAGCAGGAGTCCCTGCTTTTGCCCTCATACTCGACTTGCAGGCCCTTGGAAGAAAAAACAAAAAAACGCATTAAAGCTGTGCGGATAAAGAAAATCACAGGAAGCTTCAAGTATGAACACAGAGCTGTATGTTTTTGTAATTTTATGTTAACTGTTCTGTAAAGTGATTTACAGCTGCATATAGAGGGCACTTTTTATTTTAAAAGAGAAAAATACCCACCCTTGGTTCACCAACAACTGTGCATAAGACAACAGAAGGCCCAATCTCCATCTTCTCCGCAATAATAATGTCATGCATGTATGCCTGATTTCTCCAAGGCTCTGCCTGTCCAAAGCTGCCGATGACATGCTGGTAACCCAGGGAGGTGTATAGCCTGTCACGGCCAGCCGCGGACAATGAAGCCCCTTCTCCAAGGCGCGAGCGAGAGGGCCTGGGCAACAGCCTCGACCGGCCGCGACGCCGACCCCCGGACGCCCATGCAGGCCGCGCAAACAATGAAGCCTTTATTGGAGTAAGGCAGAGCAAAATAGCCACCAGAGAAAAGAACTCAGATGGATTTGATTCCTAGTCAGTCATTTTAACCTGCCTCTGCCTTTCACGCAGAAACCTGTCAAAGCGGATGTCCCGCTTGGGGCATACAGTTTGCACTTTCACGCAGTGAGATGGTATTGTATAATCAGTGTCTGATACAACGTATGAATAGAGTGGAGCCTCGATTTAACGGACCAGGAACCAAGGGATCCGGGATTCAATGGATGGAAAATAGTCTTCAAGCTACTGAAAACGCCCATTCTAAAGTACGTATTTAAGGAGGAAGAGAAGTCTTTTATTTTTTAAACAATAATGTGTTCTACGCACCTCCACTTGTCTAAATATGTTATACTGATTTATTATTGCATTTGTGGAATATGAATTAAGCGGAAAAATCTAACCGTTCTATCCATCTTAGGGGGCGGCCATTTTGTCTTGTACATCCACTTCCTGTCGACTGAAATTGATGTCACAGTGTCAAAGGGCGCGGGTAACGACCATCAAAGCTCAGCTGTTTTCTGGGTTTGGTCATGTGACATTCACAAGCTGAGCCATAAGTCACTTGTGATGTCATTTTCAGTCGCCAGCATGTGTCACTACATCGCAAAATGGCCGCCGGATAAATGGACAGTTAGAGCAATTGTCTCACCTGTACGCCTTTCCTCATGTGGTTTTGTGCATGCCGTGTTTGGGGTATCCAAGCTGCCTCATAACCTCGCTGCAGTAAGCCTCCACCTGGTTGATTTGCTCCACGCTCAGCCTCTCCCTCCAGGCGTAGATGGCCTCCTTGGCGTCCCGAGACGAGATGAGGAAAGGCCGGTCCGATGAGTAACCGCGGCCATGGGTCATGTTGAGCGCGAAGCTTTCCAGCTCCGGCGATGTGGACAGGTTGGAAAAGCGGTAGAGCTTCTGCAGCTCCTCGGCCGGGTGCAATACCAGGTCCTCGTAGCGGACCCGCTGGTAGCGGCGGCGCACCCAGGGCGGCGCGTTGGTCACCAGCATCATGTCGCCCAGCCAGTTGTCGCAGATGAGCTCCATGGCGCCGGACACGTAGCTCTCGGCGCGGTTCATGCGGTTGTTGGGAACCAGTAGACGCTTGTACTTGTCGCTGTGCTTTTTGCTGCGCAAAACCTGGCGGAGCAGCACATATTTTGAACATGTCAACGGGGGTGGGTAGTGGGGCATATGGTAAAGCAGTGACTAATATTACAGCTGCTTACTGTGTGAAAATGTCTTTGTTTTCCAGCCAAAATGGTATAGAAACACCGAACCATAATGACTAATTAAACAAATTTGACCAAAAATGATTTGGGGGAAAATTACAAAGTACCCTTTTAGGTGCGATTAGTTACCATAATTTTTATACTTGCACAGAAGTTAAGCATGTCAAAAAAACTTTCCTTTCATTCTGAGTATTGGTTAACTTACTCTATGCAAAAAAATTGTCTGTCTGATTGTTTTTCCTCAGACATGGTGGTTTCTTAAATATCATATGGAGCTACAAGATGGGGCCGAGGGACTGATTTTTTTCTTCACTGATCATATTTGCGATGGACTACTGTCAAGTCATAATGAGCGTTTTGATTGCAAACTCCCCTTGTCATGTTTATCTATTTATTTTGCATCCGACAATAAATAGCTAACTTATTTTTCTACTCTTGAGTGAAAGTTAACCATGTCAAAAAAGAACTTCAATTTTGACATTTCACTTAACTTATTTTTACACTTGCACGACAATTGAAGTTGAAAAACATTTGTCTGTCCCTAATTTCTTGTTTTTCTTCTTCAGATCTAAACACAAATTTAAGGTCATAAGATGTTGCCAGCGATTGCAGCTTTTTGTTTTCATAGATACTATTTACCTACACTGTAAATAACACAACTTGTATTTTGAGGGGCTAAAGCAGTCATTTAAATTGGACCAACTTTAAAGTATAAATTATTGACATTTATGGTAACAATGTTAGTTATCAGAACAAAGCAAGCAAGCGTTTGTTCCAAAACGCAAACTCCCCCAAGAAAGATCACCTGGATGCTCTCCTTCACCAGTGCCTGCTTAGACTTGAGGCGAGAGTTGTGCACGGCTCGCGGGTCGCGGAAAAGCTGCACGATGTGCAAGTTGATGGCCGGGTCCTTCATGAGGGGCACCAAGGTGCTGAGATCCAGAACGCGCACGCCCTTGATGACCACCACCGGGTACTTCTTGCACTCCCGTTCCAGCTCGCGGATGTCCCGCTTGGGGCACTTGGCGCAGCGGTCCTCCTGCACCAGGCCGACGCGGTGACGCTGGTGGGCGTCGCAAAGGGGCTCGGAGCACACCACCTTGTTCATCTTCCATCCGAAGATGAAGGCTGTGGTGAGGTTCTGCGAGCCCGCGTACAGCTTGAGCACGGAGAAGTCGCAGCGGAACAGCGCGCTCAGCATGTCGCGCACGGCGCCCTGCAGGCTGCCCGCGTCGCCCGGGTAGAGGGCCTGCCAGATGTGCCACATGGGCTCGTACAGGTAGAACACGTCCGGATGCTGGTTGAACAGCTCGCCCAGGAACGACGAGCCGGTCCTCCAGGTGGCGTGCAGGTAGATGTGCGTGCGAGGCGCGCCGGGCCCGGGCGGCTCCGTGCCGTTAGCGCCGTCCACTTTGTAGCCGTGCTCCCACAGCAGCTCCACGGCATTCTTCAGGTCCGAGCACCGAGATTGCTGCTGCTGCTGCTGGAGCCCGTGCTTGGCGCGCTGTATCGAGCGCTCCCCGAAGTCGAACACATAAGGGATGAGCAAGAGCAAGCCCGTGTAGGCGAGGATCAGAATCAAGTATTTCTTCTGGATCCTCCTCTTCATCGCGCTGGCTTGCAAGCGCCGCGCTTTGGAGCTGCGCTCAAATTGTGCGTGCGCGAATCAAACCACTTGTGTGGCACGCTCAAATTCAGGGGGATGTGGCGAGAGGCGGGTCCAGTAAGTTGCTTAAATGAAGGCGGGGCCTATTTAGTGCTAAAAGTTGCTAAATGACGTTGTTGCTGTTTGTTGCTAAAAGCAGCTAATTGAAGGCAGGGTCGATCTGGTGCAAGGGTGTTTAAAAAATAGATGGAATTTAAAAAAAAGAATAATTCTAGTCAAACAAAATTAAATTAAGGCGGGGCTATTTGCCTCAAATAGTTGCTCAATGACACCGCCCTTGCGTAAAATATATGCAAATAGCTCTACAGATTTATTATCATAACATTAAATTCGAGACATTGTTTTTATGTCTGTTTTCCAATAGAAGTGCTTGTGAATGTTTGCATGTTTGCATTGGGACCTGGACTTTCGAGCGACAAATAACTGTAGTTATTTGTCTCTATGGCATAAAGACAAATAACTACAGTGGGCAGCTCTGCCACATTCAAAATGGTGGGGATGATGACGTATCCCAGCAACAGGCCATCCCGCTTAAGGCAAGGAAAACACACACATTTAAATGACAGACAACCAAATAGGAATGTGCAATTATTTCGTGGCAATGCGGTTGTTTATTGAAAGAGAAATGTGAGCAATAAATTGAACAAGACCACACACTTTCGATTTTTTGTCGTTAGCTCGTAATGCATTGTGGGAAATGCGATTAAAAACACACCGATGCAGATTTTTAATTCCTATTAATTTTTGGATTTTCTTGTCACTTAAAATTTGATCCAATTTAAATCAACAATACACTTTATGTTACAGAAATAAAATACATAATAGCGTTTTTGTTTTTTTGTTTTTTTTCTTAGATTCGCGCATGCGCATAAGCCCTCTGCGAACAAAGGAAGATGTTGCTAAGTTAACCAGAGCTCCTCTGGCAACAGTCACAAATGGCGTTACCACAAATATTAGTGCCTCATTCTGTGTAGGGTAGTCCACCCCGTAGACACCTCGCCATATGTGACGCCGAGCTAAGCTATGGCTCACTGGAGCACTTTCGAGAAGGAGACGGAGAGGGAGACGAAGGAGCTGATCAGATGTGTGAGCGGACTGGACGACGAGGAGGAGCACAACTTCCAGCTGGCGCTCAAATTCGCTTGGTCCAATTTCAAGTAAGAAATGGCCGTGGTGAACCTCCTGCAGGGATAATATAACTAGATTAATTACACTTGGATATGCCTTCTTCTGAGTTCCTCTTATTTGTGGGATCCCCCAAGGAACAATTCTGGACGCCCTCGTGTTTACCAAAAACACTTGATGCCAACAAGTCTGATATGTGATGCTTCCAAAAAGTGTTTGACATTTTCTCTGTAAACGTCACAATGATTGCGACACGAGCAAAACAAGAAGCATTGGCTCCAATGTCCATCCTTGATTTTCAAGTCTTCATACTTTTCATTTGTTTAATCTTGCAATTGTCTCAAATGGTATTATTTTGTACGTTGACTGTTTGTAATGTCCACTTTGTAACTATGTTTTGAAAGATGCTGTATAAACATAGTACAGTTATTAGATACTTTTTTTTGTGCCACTAAGATGATTACCCCTGTTTTTTTTCCCTTTCAGGTTTCATCGTTTCCTAGACGTGGACAGCCACAAAGTGCAGCGCAGCATCAGTGGGTAAGTGTCTGTTTTGGTTCCAATTTCAAGTTTCGAATGACGATTGAGGCAGATATAAAAACAAATTGGATTTACGGTCCTTGGGTTTTCATAACACCCTTTTGCCCAAGTTTCCGTTTGACTTTTGAGATGAATTTTCATAGAAAATGTAGGTTTAACTACAAATTATATTTGTATTTTATTGGATATCTTCATACTTATTTATCAATGTGATGTTTTATTCTGGTTTGAGCTCTTAGTTTTGAGCCAAATATTAATATGAATTCATTGTTGTTTTTCGACACAGAATCTACGAAAAGCTCATGGTGCACTCGGAAGTGAGTAAGGCCGAAAGCTGGATGAGGCTGACTGATGAGTTCCTCAACTCGCCCCTAGCCAACACCACTGGAACGAAGGTACATACCCCTTTGCTACATTCTTCCAGAATTGCTTCTGTGTATTAACGATTGCGTGTGTATTTTACAGACTGACGTACACTACAGCGTACTGTCGCTGCTCCTCCTCTTATCAGGCTCCCCCTCCAACACAAACTTTACAGAAAGACCCCGGGTGAAAGAGGCCGGTGAGTGAGGAACATACTCTGAACCTGTTATATCGAGTTTTCTAAACGGTTGGTTTTTATGTTTTCTTTTTTTTTGTTTGTTTGTTGTTTTTTTGAACAGTATTCAGACAGACTTGTCTGAATTTAGGGTTGCGCACCTTCAGTGTGGTGCCACCTTGTGCCACAACATGCCGGGCAGTAGGGCTGAACAATTAATCAAATTTAAGTTGACATTGCAATATAGTAAAATACAATTTTCAAATTGCAAAGGCTGCAATTTCGGGGAAAACTGCTTCTTTTCAATAAAATGATATCTCCCGCCATCCACAGAACCAGAGGACAACTTTGACTGGGCGAAATACCTATGGGAGGGTGAAGACATAGACAATGGGCCATACCCTGATACTCCTGTGAGTATTACTCTAGAAGTTACTGACTTTGCTTTTTCTTTGAACTTTACGATGGCAAACGAGAAATTTGATGGCTACCATAAAATCAGAAATTGAACTCATCGGGGTATAGGAAACAATAAGATGCATCACCATTTGTGGTGGTAGACTATGTCAGGCTGCAGCGTGTGCCACGCATGCTCAAAAGTCACAGATGCTACAGTAGAAAGTGAGAATGGTGACCCCCAAGTGGATATAAATAAGAACTACACCTCACATGCACGTTATTGTGTTGAATAAAGCAAAGTCAGTTTTCTGTCTGATTCGTCGATCGAATAATTGGTGGCATACTTGATTCTTAATGTTTTAAATGCCTGCTCAATAAATTCACTTGAGCTGTTATTTCATGCTGGATGATCAGGAGTGGTCCGAGGAGGAGAGCGAGGGTGAAGACAGCCATCAGGCAATCAGCAGGGAAGACTCCGGGATCCAGTTGGACAAAACCCCCCAGGAGGACAAAGACCACGCCGGCAAGACGGTTTCGGTCCCGTGGACAGGTCGGAAACAATCGCAGCATCATGGTAGCTTGCCCTAAGAGCTTAATTTGTTCCCTGACCAAACTTGTAGCTGAATTTATTTCGGGTTCTAAGAACAAAAATCTTCATGATGATGTGCAATATGTGGGGAGAAAATAAATCTTTTTGAATCTGTTTTTTGGCAGTGGGTGAACCTGACGCCCGAGCCTGGCTGGAGCAACACGTGGTGACTCCGTACTGGGTGCCGCACGCCCCCCGTTTCGCCCACAGCCTCCATTTACACTCCAACTTGTTCAATGTCTGGTGAGACCCTTGCAAAGACACGAATATTACGGCATAGTCTACTAATTTTGTATCTGGGCAATTCATCAAATTCAAATCGATTTGGCATTGTCTTCGAATGTACCGATAACTTTCAAATCTCAAAGTCTGCAAATTGGGGAAAGACATGCTTCATTTCAGTCGATCGGTAGGCTTTCTTTTTTTTATATATGTATATTGTATTTCGCTTTTTTGGGGGCGCGGGGGGGTAAGTCACTTTTTTTCACGGTGAACATTTTTTAGACATCGTAAATATAATCTTGTAATATGGATTTGTTTATTCCTTTTTTTTTTTTAACCATATTGCAGGATTGCGGTGGGAAAAAAATGGCAATCGTTTTTCAAAATCGGCCAGCCCTAGTTAACTCATAAATTACTGAATAAAAGTCATACGTTTGTGATGTGCTACTGACCCATTTTCCTCAACAGGGACCAGCACTTGTATAACACGGATCCGCTGTATCTGCCCGAAGAAAAAGCTTTTGTGACTGAGACGCAAGTCATCCGCGAAACACTGTGGTGAGCTGCACGATCACATTTTTGACTTTGTAGGTTAACAACTGCACATTTACCGCTGTCGTTTTTGTTTCACTGAAGTGTCTCCAAAAGTAAATTACACTGTGCAACCATAGTAGTTAGTCAGCTTTCATTTTTAGACTGTGTTATCATAATTTTTGGTTTCCCAGGCTTCTATCAGGGGTTAAGAAACACTTCATATTCCAACATCACGATGGGAAAGTGTCGGTCAGGAATAACGTGGTGGTCACTCATCTCACCAGTGTAAGTGCAACCACACACACGGCCACAGTTTTATCCATAATAAAGTAATAATATACATAATAAACCCGACTTTTTGCTTTATTAGTTTGGTTTATTCGCATAAATTACACCCATGAGTCAAGATACCTCTGTATAAAAATGCCCCGTTTTGCCCCATTTGTCACAGAACTGCCTCCGTTCCGTGCTGGAGCATGTGGCCGCGTACGGCCAGGCGGTGTCCCGCCTGCAAAGATTCATCGACGAGGTGACGGGCCACAGTCCCGAGCTCGGTCCGGCCGGCGCTAAAAGGGGCTCCGAACCTCCGTTCAGGACTTACCAGGCTTTTGTGTGGGCTCTCAACAAGTACTTCACCAGCTTCAAAGAGGAGCTGGTCACCATCGAGAGAGGGCTCGTGTCCAAAGGCGAGTACCGTGGACTCCAGCTGAACAATTAATCGTTGTTGTATCGATTGTACGTCATGCAAAGTGGTTCTCCTCCAGATGAGACGGTGACGCTGTCCGCCGTGCTGGAGCGTCTCAGCCCGCACCTCGCGCAAATCAAAGTGCTGCACAAGGTTTTTTGCACCGGCATCGCCGAGGTGCCGCCCGAGACCCCAAATGTTGTGCGGGCCTCGCACTTGCTCAACACGCTCTACAAGGCCATCATCGAGTACGACAGCGTCGGGGAAGCTTCCGAGCAAACGGTGTGTGTTTTGTATTTTTTGTGCATCTCTGGGACACAAAAACACAAAATACAGAAAGTTTGCCACTTTTCTCCATTAGGTGG